CGAAGACCCTGAAAATTTGGAAACTTAAAACACTAATTTAATTCAACTATAAGGTTATCTCTCAGAGCTCATCTCGAACTGTGACCCTATTCTACCTTACGGTATTTCAGACCATAGTTCATTCTCAAGCTACCTAGGCCTAATAGAACAGTCTTGGGTAACTGAGAGAATCGAACCCTCTAGCTCCTCACTGTTCAACAAACCTTCTTGGCAAGCTTGACAATTTGGTCCTGAACGTCAGCGCTGGTCAGCTTTAGCCACGATGGAACAGAGCGCCTGTACGGCAATGCCGACTTCGACATACCCTTACCAGGATTGTGCATACGACCCATGGTTGTAGCTTTGAGTAGTGCTGTTTACCTGAAATATTCGTAGTTGTAAAGTGAAACATTTGAATGTAAAAGATAGACTGAAGGAACCAAAACAACTTCACGATCACGACATTTTGTTAATTAGTAACGAACTTGACTTAATTTCTACTTTCGGAAGTGCTGATTTGCAGTTGAACTCGAGATTTTTACGTACGAAAAAGATTCAGAGGTAAAGCCCTTAACTGATTCCAAAGTGCTTACAAAATTGACACCACTACCCCGAAGAAGATTCAACTCTGCATTTGAATTCCGACTATATATCTTCCAAAATGAGAAGTACATAAATAAACTAATGCAATTAGATTAGAATTCCAAGCTCATAACTGACACTCCTCAATAAAAAAAAACTTTGAAAAGCGGCTTTCTGTCAAAGTTGAATGGAAATGGCCGCATGAAGAACATATGATGTAACCAGACAGCTCAACTTCATGCGCTTACCAAATTTATCAGCGAAAAGCTAGATTTGCGCAAAAAAAGAAAAATCGATAGGTTCAGGGCAATTTGATTCAAAAGACTGTAATATAACAGAGTAGAAAATCATGACATTTCCAAAAATTGTGCTATTAAACAAGTACAACAAACTAATGTGAAATCACTAAAATCGCGATGTGCTAACCCTTATTCCTAAAATCAAACAAAATGGCGCAAATAAAGTGGAAGCGATAATCCTATAAACAAAATAAACACCTGACCTCCAGAAATTTCAATGTCGATAAGGAATAGGTTTTGATTCAGATGATATACTAAATTCCTAATACAAACACTCCAAACTACTAACCAAAACACACAAACCATTATTCGTCGGGCCCGGACAATTTAACCGGAATAATCGTGTCTTTTAAATAAGAAACAAATGTAGAATACAAATATACAAATGCTAACAGTTCACTTTAGAATAGACTGAAGACGTTTTAGAAGGAATAGATTTATCTAATGGATTTCCTACAAAATTCATTACCGCTCAAAATACTTGAAATTTTGTTCCGTTGCTAAGAAAACTGCAGAATTTCACTGTGAGAAATATTTGTGATTATAGTTGGTCTAATTGGAACGTCTTCTGTTTTGTCCCCTGAGACCAATGTTAAGTG